TTTTTATTTTACTTTGTTTTTGTTTTGTTTTTTAGGGGGGGGGAGAGGGGGGCTGGGTATCAAATCAATTACAAGTTCTCAAAAAGGCTGAAAAGGACTCGGTTTTATAAGGCCGGCCGTGTCGTAAGATTGCCAGTGTTCAGAATCCTAAACACAGTGTTCTATTCTGAGCCGTCCTCGGGGAAGCATAAAGTTGGTGCACTTCAAAAGCGCTACAAAGACCACCCCGAAAACGTTTCTGAAGGACGTAACGTCAATCCGTCGACGTGGGTGAGCCTAGCTCCTAACAGACCCACTTAGAGGGCAGCGGTCACATGATTTATTATTATTCTCTTTTTTTGGGGGGGGGGGTCCTTTTTAAAAATCATTATTATTATTGTTGTTGTTGTTGTTGTTGTTTTGATGTTAGTATTGTTACTATTATTGTTGTTTTGTTGTTGTTATTATCTATATTGTGTCGTTGTTGATGTTGTTATTGTTAGTTATCATCATTAATATTATTCAGCATGAATCAGTTAATAATTAAATTCAAAATGAAAAGAATTTTTTTCGCATTGATATTTCCTGTAATATTAATCAATATCGCTGCATAATTAATCCTGACATTTCTGTTATGGTGCGTATACAATAGGCCTTATTAGACGAGTCTGCTTGTACGGAGCCTTTTATTAAATTGAAAGCTGACTTATTAACTCACTTGAGCCTGAAGCAGGTTCTTTATATGAAGAATAAAGAAAAATAATATTATTATGAAAAAAGAAAAGAATTCCTTTCACCTTCTCCTGACCGCAAGGTATTCCCAGTTTGGTCGTAGCAGTGAATGCGTTGTGGTCTTGAGGGATGGGGGATACAGTGTAGATGGTTCCTATTCACCGCTGTTTATATTCACAGTTTCGGTTTTCATCGTGGGGATTGTCTCCTTCAAGGGGGATTAGTTTTCCTACAAGGACTTTCCAGGGCTCTTATTTCAAACAGAGGCTGCCCTGAATTTGACCAGCTCAATTAAAGTGAAAGGGGAATGATGTTGGCTATTTCTTTCATGTATGCCTCAGTGTACTTGTCTCTGTTTCTCTCTGTCTCTCTGTCTCTCTCTGTCTCTCTCTCTGTCTCTCTCTCTGTCTCTCTCTGTCTCTCTCTATCTCTGTCTCTGTCTCTGTCTCTGTCTCTGTCTCTGTCTCTGTCTCTGTCTCTC